GGTAGATATAGACATGGAAACATCTGCAATGGTAGATATAGACATGGAAACATCTGCACAGGTAGACATAGACATGGCAACATTTCCACAGGGAGATATAAACGTGGCAACATCTGCACAGAAAGTTATGGCAACATCTGCATAGGTAGACATAGACATGGCAACATCTGCACAGGTAGATAAAGACAGTGCAACATCTGCACAGGTAGTTTTGATAGCATTACTTGTAGCTTACCCTGATTTGTTCCTACTTTCTAAGTGACAATAAAAGTTTGATGTAGTCCCCATGTCTCTGAACGTGAAACTCTGCAGAAGGCAGCAGAGCCTCAGAGTCTTATAAGTCTCTGTGTGCTTTCTCCTGGATGTTGTTCTACATCTACAAATATATTCTCTATGATTAATGTAGCCGAATTGTAATACATAAGAGTTTGCAGACATCTTTTACTGCTCCCAGACAACCACTGCTCACTTTCTTGTTGTGATGTGTTACGTTCAAAATCACCAGCTCTTCAATTTTTTTCCTTTTTAAAGGCTTTGTGACCAATCACATATGACTTACTCCTTAACTTAGTCCTCAAGGACCATTATTCCTCATGTTTCACTGTTTCAACACACTTGATTTGAATGATGGGTGATTAGTGGGCTAAGAACTTTAAAAGGTAAATCACCTAATCAGGTGTGTTGGAGTAGAGACCATGGAAGATAGCTGTCCTTGAGGACCAGGATTTGCCATCCCTGACACCGGATGAAAACAGAGTGGGGGACAGACATGATAACCAGTTGGAGTATCTGTCCCCACCAAGCAGCCTACTCCATCCATTAAATAAAAATTAAATACTTGATTAAAATATTAAACAAACAGCTGTTTGGGAGCTGAAAGACAAGTTCCTTCTTTGGGAGCAGTTAGCTGGTTCTCTGAAAAGAGCCAAACTTCCTATCACTACTTTTTTGGAGTGCTACGTTTAAGTGAAAGGGGGTGGGGATAGGTGACAGCAGTAACAGAAATACATAATTATCTCTGGGTCATGCTTGAATTAGAATTACGAAGTTTTACATGGAATGAAGCAAAGATGTAAACAAATAAAATAAACAACATTCTGGCAATTTTGTAACATTTCCACAGTTGTAGTCTTGAAATAAAATTCAGAGTCCTCAATGACCGTGTATAAATGCAAAGACGAGACCATCAAAAAGTGGTCTCACCCCGGTTTTAAGACCATGACCGGTCTCAAATACTGCAACACTAATAAAAAGAAAACACATCTACACAGGCAGATAAAAAACAGCATCTGTGCAGGTAAAGAGACAATCCATGATTCAAACTGTGACTGTTCAGTAAGTTTGATGTCAGACTGACTGATTGTGTCATCAGACTGTTTGATCTGAAGACGTTCTGCTGTGTCCTTCAGATATCGACGAGTGTCATCTCTTCCCACTGGCTCAGCCGGGTCGGCTCTGCATTCATCAGTGCATCAATACTCCTGGCAGCTTCCACTGCATCTGTCCTCCTGGGTACAACCTGGCCTCAGACGGCCGCAGCTGCACAGGTTAGTTTCAGAAACCAGCCCCCATGTTCAGGGCAGCATTTAGGATGGGCAGGAGATTATTTGGTTGTTGTCTCACCTTTGACCTTTCACTTTTAGACACTGATGAGTGTGAAAGCCAAATGCACAACTGCACAGCAGACCAGGTGTGTGTGAACACATATGGAGCTTTCCAGTGCGTGACAGTTGAATGTCCAAAAGTGAAAAATGCAACATTCATCAAGACGTCTCCCATGTAAGCATAAAAAACACTGAGGTCCTGCCTCTTACAGTTTTTTCTCAGTTGCTAAAACACATTTCTTGAAACCATCAATTCATTTCACTAAACTGTAAACACAAAACCCAATTTTCAAACTACTTTCACAGAACCTCTGGCTCCTCCAGCAAAACCAAACTACAGCCCCAAAATAGTTCAAACTGTGCTCAAAACCAATCAATGTTGTCAAATCAGACCTAAAAAAAAATCAAAAGAACAAACACTACAGAGCAGTCAGTACAGACAACAGGGAAAAGAAAAAAAAACACAATAAGATCATGAAACTTTTGAAATAATCTTTATTGTCCACAAAGGAAAAGGCATTTCCTAAACAAAACACCTGTTTGACACTTGTAGTGCAAAATAAAAAGCATTATATCTCTAATTTATAGAAAACTATCTCGCCCTACTCTTCCACTTCATTTCACACTCAGGTCCTCTACCAGAGGTCTGGAGTTTCAGGGTTCTGTTCAGGATCTTAGCTGTTCTTACAAGTGAACTCTTCTAGACAGAGATCTCTGAGGTTCCTGGGATCTGTTGAAGTCACTCCTCTAATTTGGGGGTCCCCCAAATTAGAGGAGGAATATCAACAATATCAGAGGAACACACCTCTGATATTGTTCCTTTTCAGTTTACTCTCCAGCTTCCTTCTATAAACCTCCTTGCTGTCTCTGATCTTGACTTTGAGCTGCTGTATACTCCTCAGTAAGTCCCTGTCTCGATCATTACAGGCTCTTTTTTTCTTGTTTAACAGTTTTATAT